GCAACGGTCTGTTCTCCTTAGTAACAGTCTGTTCTCCTTAGCAACAGCCTGTTATTTAAAACTAACAACCTCTGGACTGTCCAAATTGGCCAATCAGAATCCAGTATTCAGCCAAGCTGTGTAAAAAACAACTGTATAACTCAGAGGCCAAATTAGAAATTGAACTGAGACACTTAAACAGGCAGAAATAACCCTTAAGAATGTCAGATTCTTCCCCATCTTGTAGTAAAACTGAGTAGATTGTATGACGGAGAACTGCGTTAACTGCATATATGAAGCCACTGTACTTATAAATCTACAGGAAAGGGAAAACCCTCAAAAAGCAGAATAGGGCCTCTTTAAAGGTCCCATGTCATGCTTTGGTTATTACCCGTCCCCTTGTGTGTTATGTAGGTTTTTCTGCATGTAAACGGTCTGCAGAGTCACAAACCCTCAAAGTACACCCTGTAGCGAGTAAAACTCTAACACAGAAAAGACCTGTCTATGCTGCCCCAGAACGCCTCGTTGGACATTTATCTTTTTCTTCCTGGGTACAGTGACGTGCCCATACCCAAATGGACCCATTGGTCCAAATTGACAAATCCGCGGACTTCCTCACACAAACACACTCAATCTTTTCTCAGCTGCAGCTCCGCCGATTTCTCCTCCCTGAGACGGCGGGACGCGGCGAGGCTGTGAGTCGGTGTGTGAGCACACAAACTCCCAGCCAGGCTGCGGGTGTATGTGTGTGTTCGGGCTGGTTTCAGGCTGGGTTTCGCTGTGTCTCGCTGTTTCGCAGACGGCCACTGGGCTCAAAGGGAGAGGGGGGGGCAGGAGCTCCAACAAGCCGTTCAGGAGAGAGAGAGTGAATACACATACTATACAGAGATGCTGTATGAGAAACCAATGTGAGTTTGGAAAATTGCACAATATAAATATATTTTAGTAGACCTCAACAATGGAATTATGATCAGTATAAATGGCCATGACATGGGACCTTTAAGTTTCACCTTTCTTTCTCCCTTTGCTTATTTCCTCTTTGCTTCTTCTCCTCCCTCCTTCCTTTTCTTACCTACTTTCTTACATGCCAGCAACTACATCTAATACCTCAATAACTATCTGCCAAAAAAGAAATAAAAATATCCCCACATTCAGCAGAAGTCTCAGTCTCTTGGACCGCATTGCTCCAGAAGTCCAGCTGTCTCTTAAACTGATTTGCGCGCCACTATTAAACCCGAAAAGTGTTTTATTTTCACCTATTTTTCTTGTTTTACTATTGGTTTCTAATCATCAGGGATTTGTGACTTAGCAGACCATTTACATGCACATAAACTTACAGAACACTCTATAGGAAAGGGAAAACACTAAAAAAGCAGAATAGGGCCTCACCCTTCTTTCTTCATTGTCTTATTTCCTCTTTGCTTCTTCTCCTTCCTTTTCGTACCTTCTTTCGTACATGCCGAGGAAACCCAGCAACTACATCTAATACCTCAATAACTATCTGCCAAAAAAGAAATAAAAATATTCCCACATTCAGCAGAAATCTCAGTTTCTTGGACCGCGTTGCTCCAGAAGTCGAGCTGTCTCTTAAACTGATTTGCGCGCCACTATTAAACCCGAAAAGTGTTTTATTTTCACCTATTTTTCGTGTTTTCTTGTTGGATTCTAATCTGCAGATTCAGGACGGCAGCTCAGAGAGGTTTAAGGCCTCGTCCTTGGCCGGGGTTTATGGAATAAAAATATTCAGTTTCCTGCTGCAGAGATACAAACAAACCCTCTTGTTCTTTAATTATTCCCTCTTTCATTCTTAGTGATTGCATCGTGGATCCGAAACCTTAGACACTCAAGATATAACAAGATATAAGCAGATAGAAACACAGACACACTGCTGATTGAAGAAATGTATATATTGTTGTTCAACAGTATAAGAGCCAGAATACTTGCGTCAAGTCCACCAAGATCATTTGTGTCCCATACCTCTTTACTTTTACTTGAGTAAAGAAGTTTAATCAGTACTTTTACCAGAGTATTTTTAAACACGAGTATCTGTACTTCTACTGAGTAAAGGATGAGTGTACTTTTGCCCTCTCTGAAGATATAACAAAATAGAGACACAGACACTCTGCTGATTGAAGGAATTGCATGTGTACGTGACGGACTGTCGGGACATCATAGTGTAACACACAGACTCTTTTTAGCACGTTCAGCTGAGGCGCACTGGCAACACACCTCCAGTGCAGAACATTAAACACCGTTCACTACCATTTTAAAAGCAAGTGAAGCCAAATATATTATGCTTATGAGTCATTGTATCTCAGCTACTGCCTGCATTGTTAAATATCATATACATATAAATGGAAAGCTACCATCTATTCTTGTACAACACTATAAGAGCCAGAACACTTGCGTCAAGTCCTTCAAGAGTACATGTGTCTGTGTAAAGAATAACTGAATCTCACAGGTTTTATACACTTCTTTTTAGTTTACACATGCACTATACCTTTGGACCTTTTACAATCACATGTTACAAGACCCTATGATCAATAAGACCCTATAATAAATAAGACCCTATGCTCAATAACACGCTGCAAACACACATTAAAACATTCATGGTCTCTTTAAATAAACTAAAGGGTGAAACTCAAGAGCATGGCTTACAACACATGATCATATAATAGAGATTATTTCAACATTCCTGTCCATATTTAGTAAAGCTTGTCAAATATCTGCATGTGTGTTCAATAACCAGCAGATTGTTTTACTAAATGGCCGTGAAACACAATCAGTTAAGCTTTTGCGATGTCAATAAATAACCTTTTTATTAAATAAGTTTTCCACATAGATGTGTTGCAGAGCCACTCTCCGTCACACTGATACAAAAGGACATATTAAAAGCCTTGACGTTATAATAACACTTACATTTGGTCCACATTTCTTGACATTTCTTGGCACTGGAGGTTTAATATTCTGTCTTTTTGTTCTCCGATGCCAGGCACTCATTTTCCTATCTGTGCTTCGGGTGCACGTCATCGTCTCGACACTTTAATGGCCTCAAAAGCACAGACATCATTCCTTAACCAATAAACCCTTTTAACCTTAAAGGTCACCTATCATGCTATTTTTAGGCAATAGCATAGATCTCAGATATATACAAATATCTAAAAAACATGTCTATGAAGTGTTTTGCTCAAAATACCAAACAGATCACGCATTCTAGCCATGCCTCATATCCCTCTATTTCACTTCCTGTTTCAAAAGTGATGATTTGGGGTATAAAGCTTTAAAAAATAAAAATTGATACCAAAAAAAAAGGAGGGGTCTGAGCTCATGCGGGACCCGGCAGCTACTGTCTAAACTAAATACTGCCGTGATGAAACGCCATATCATGGATTATCAAGGATTCTCTCTGAAACAGTATGGAGCTCAAAGGCTTTCTCTCTTGCCGGTTATACCACAAGGTGAGTTCCTTTTTATTTCCTACTTCTTCACACACATGCTCTCCAGTACAGGTTAGCTCTGAGTGTTAGCGATGCTAATGTAAACACCGACCATATTACGTCCAAAACAGTCGGGCATTGTTTCTGATAGCAACGTTTCTGATAGGGCCGTGGGTCCACATTTCAGATATTACGTCATATCGGATGCAAATCTGGATCAGCTCCGTTGTAGCCCCGTTTTTAGAGAACTGGGTACGGAGGAAAAGAGAGAGGGTTTTATTTTCTGACGCTGCGTGAGTCTCCTGACACACCGGGGACACATGTTGATGTAGAAAAGACATCAAAAAGTGCATTTTGCATGATAGGTCCCCTTTAATATTTCCCTTTAATTGCTTCTGCCGAGTGTTCAAATGTACATTATCCTCAGAAGATCTTAAGTTCCTGGCTCTTTGAAACCCATGCAAATCCCATTATGCATTTTTGAAAAAATCAATTATATTTCTACTGGAAAAATCAATATATATGTTTTTTTTTTTTAAATCTAATTGTATTTCTGTATAGCTTACTGGTCATTAGAGACTTTCTTTTAACCTAAAGGTCACAACTTTCATCCGCAGCCAATTACTGTCCGTCAACATGTGTGTGTCGTACCTCCATGTGGTCACAGTTAGCTACAGATAAATGGCACAAATGTCAAAATGAAATGCAAAGTAGATTGTTATTTGACTTGTGACTGACAGGCACTGGTATGCATTATGGTTTTAAATGTATTTAAAAGCATTAATGTCATGGTGTCTTTCTCTTGACATTGTCAAATGTATTTCAAGCATACATAGGTCCGATTTCTGTTTTCTACTAACAGGCATGGTCAATTCTAAGAGAGGAATAAAGAACTGAATACAAAACAACACTCTGACTGATATCTTCCATGAAGAAGCAGCTCTAAATATTGTCAGTGTCTCTTTTTAAGCTCACAGTGAGATATTAGTTTATTTCCAAATCATAACCGTTATTCAGCATGTTTCAGTTATTTAAGCCCTCTGTTCCGAAATCTGATTTTACTTCAGGAGATTAGGTGTTCTCTCTCATTAGAGTGTGTGTGTGTGTGTGTGTGTGTGTGTGTGTGTGTGTGTGTGTGTGTGTGTGTGTGTGTGTGTGTGTGTGTGTGTGTGTGTGTGTGTGTGTGTGTGTGTGTGTGTGTGTGTGTGTGTGTGTGTGTGTGTGTGTGTGTGTGTGTGTGTGTGTGTGTGTGTGTGTGTGTGTGTGTGTGTGTGTGTGTGTGTGTGTGTGTGTGTGTGTGAGTGTGTGTGTCCCTGGGGAAAAAAGAGAGCAGCTTTGACTAGACAGGGCTGTCAAGGGAAATCACCTCGCAAAGAGCTGGGGGAAGACGATACCTCACACACACACACACACACACACACACACACACACACACACACACACACACACACACACACACACACACACACACACACACACACACACCACTAGAAAAATGTCTTTGTAGAAGCTAAACCCTTGTTTAAAGCTAATGCCTTCTGTTCTCTCTCTTCTTCTTCTTCTTCTTCTCTGGTGTCGTTTCAGATGTGACTCAGAGAACCGTTACCTTGGAAACCCCCTCCGAGGAACATGTTATTGTAAGTATCCTGCCGTCACTACACCTGAGACACACACGCACGCACGCACGCACGCACGCACGCACGCACGCACGCACGCACGCACACACACACACACACACACACACACACACACACACACACACACACACACACACACACGATCAGAGCTGAACTATTTTCCTGGGTACAGTGTCAGTTTTTTGTACCGTCATCTGAGTACCTATAAGTAAGAAAGCAGATGCTAACCCTGCTAGCATTCTGATTCAAAGCAACCAAAGTTAACGCTTAGTTCCCGAAAAAGTACAATATGACTATTAAGCTCTGTTAAGTGCCTTGATAGACATTCATCTGTTTGTCATCTTGCAATTTACTTATTTATCTAAATAGTTATCACCGTAATACACCGTATTTAATGTCATCTTACATTCTGTTCTTGTATATCATATTCTATTTACGTGTATATAGACTTCTTGCATTGTTGGAGGAGCTCAGGTCAGAATCATTTCATGGCCATTTCCACACTGTAGCTTATGTGCATATGACAATAAAACCTTTGAATCTTTACTTAAATAAACGTAGGAATACTTTGGTCTGAAAGTACTCCAACAAGAGTGAAAGTCCTGAATTCAAAATGTGACTTAAAGAAGCCTATTCTGCTTTGTGTGGTGTTCACTTTCCTGTAGTATGTCATATAGGTTTGTGTTTCTCTCCCACACAACATTAAAGCATGGAAACACGTCACAGTATATACAAACTTTGAAATGAGCATGATTTGAGTTTTCTAAAGTAGTCCTTTAAAGTCAGAGGGGAAGTAGTTTGGGTCAGTACATCCCATCTCTAACCTCCTCTCAGATCCCTAATAACAATGTTTTAACGGGAGGACTTTTTTGAGTTCATCTCGACCTTGGAAGCACTTTGCAGAACTAAAGGTTGTTTGTCAGGAACATGTGCACATCGTTTTGAGCTTAAAAAACAAAGAGGACAGGGTTATCATTACCATCACTTATCCAGGTCAACCATGAGAGAGAGAGAGAGAGGAAAGAGGAGAGGAGACTAAAAGAGAGAGCATTTGTTTCTGTCCACGAGTTGTTTCCTGTTTCCAGATGCTAGCAGGGTTCACGTGGATTTAGCTCATTTGCAACAAATTGCTGGTTTTCCTCTTAAAGGGCAAGAGAAGGAGGAATGCAACCAGATGTTACGTGGCACACACTCCCTCATTCTGCATCTCTCAAAGACACACGCACGCACGCACGCACGCACACACACACACACACACACACACACACACACACACACACACACCAGCATTATGCGTACCAATTGCCATCATCAGTTGTTAGTATTATAACACAGTGGAATAAAGTTCAAGTGCTGTCAATGTCAATAGCCCTCCAGCTCGAGAGGGGCTATCATTGTTTCAATGATGGAGTCTGGAGAGGATTCAGCAATCAGACGAGTCAGAAAAACAGATCGTACCGGTCACCTCAAATATGCCTTTGATCACAAAAGCAACTTCTGTTAGAGAACGTGATTCAAGACGAGTTCACCTTTACTGCAAAGCTTTATCTTAAATAAGACATTTTCTGCTGATGTTCAGGTGGATATCAGTATGTAGTGTCTCTACTTTAAAGAGTCCTCTCCTGCTGATGTTCAGGTGTATATCAGTATGTAGTGTCTCTACTTTAAAGAGTCCTCTCCTGCTGATGTTCAGGTGTATATCAGTATGTAGTGTCTCTACTTTAAAGAGTCCTCTCCTGCTGATGTTCAGGTGTATATCAGTATGTAGTGTCTCTACTTTAAAGAGTCCTCTCCTGCTGATGTTCAGGTGTATATCAGTATGTAGTGTCTCTACTTTAAAGAGTCCTCTCCTGCTGATGTTCAGGTGTATATCAGTATGTAGTGTCTCTACTTTAAAGAGTCCTCTCCTGCTGATATACACCTGAACATCAGCAGGAGAGGACTCTTTAAAGTAGAGACACTACATACTGATCTGCAGAAAATGGTCTTACCCTCTCTGCTGGACTGAGAGTTGAAGGCACTAGGTGGCACCAATGCAGTGCCCAGTATTATGCAGCTTTTAAGATAATGCAAATGCGTGCATGCGGACACACACACACACACACACACACACACACACACACACACACACACACATACACATACACATACACATACACACACACACACACACACACACACACACACACACACACACACACACACACACACACACACACACACACAGACACAGACACAGACACACACACACACACACACAGGTTGTAATGGCTCCTAAAGTCTGTGTCCCTCAGTGTCTCCATGACTGCAGCTGAGGTTGTGTTTTCAGATGCTTTTGAACACATCATGTTCTGTCATTATTGTACCATTACCCTCTCCGTCGTCTATGAAACGGGGTTAGCTTTGTTTGAACACACTTTGGAAGTACACACATGGATGCACATTACACCCCCTCTCACACACACACACATATAAGCAGTGTGTATAAACTACATATTTAAAAGCCATCCGTTTCCTTGTCCTCTACGGAAAGAAAAACTCAATATTTGTCTTTAAATGTCATTGGAAGGAAGGTGCAGATAAAAAAAACGCATTATCTCTGTCATGTTAAATTACATGCAGCGTGTATGAGCGGCAGCAGCATTGAAGATGTGAAGGTTTACAGTAGAAAGGTGATAAACCTGCACCACCTGTAGAGTTCTTTGATGTGAAGAAATATCTAACAGATGACAGCAGACAGAGACTCACTAGAAGAGGAGACAGTGTCTGTAAGGTATTAGTCTTTGCATGGTCCATTTGAACTTGTATGTGCTTTAAAGTGCATCAAGGCAAACTAAATTGCATCCTATATTAATGTTTTTAAAACTAATATGAGTCTGGCTCTCTGTCCTTTACTTTGTATCCCTACATATGTTTGAACGCTGGTCACTTTTGGCTCTCCATTATAAGTCTAACATGATTTAAAAGTAAAAAAGATATGTCTGCAAATTTGCAAAAATCCTGTAGAAATGTAACAGTCATCAGATTATTTGTATGTAACTGTAAGGGAATACTTATACTCTGCAGACTCTCTGGATACAGGAGGAGATGCTTGTTAAACCCTGTGGAGATAACGCCTTATTAATCAGTCTATATGGTAGGAATATATATTTGTAAAGTACACAAAACTGTCTTTATTCCATCCTTAGCAGCTTGTCGGCTTCAGAAAGCAGCAGCCGTGACACAAAACACTCAGGAGGTAACTGAGAGTTTGAAGAGGTTAAGCACCTGCTTCAAACTCCTTAAAGGTGAATAAAAGGCATTAGTTTAAGATATATTGAACACAGACACATTAAGGTATGTACAAGTGCAGCTAAGTGTGTAGAAGTCCTCAACCATTCACATAGTGTTGTTTAAAGACACAGATTAAGACCTTTACCTATAGTGTTATCAATCTCCTTTTTTACCTAAGGACCTCTGCAAAACACACTAACACTGGTTCAGTAGTTTACATGTCTTACCCTTTATAAAGTCCATTTATTGTAGGAATGTAACACTGACAACGTCTAGGCATCCTCGTCAAATGACAGAAGGATTAAAACACATTACAGTGATCTATTTTAGCATCGATACAAGGTTTTAAAGCCCATGTGTGAAGCCATTATTTAAACCAAACAACCTCTCAGGGTTGAACCTCTGATATTATAAATCCGCCTTCTTCACATCTGCTCTGAGTTTAGTCTGCCTCTCCTCTCTCTCACACATTTGTCCAGATTTCAAAGTCAGTTGTAAGCATGAATGATTGCAGGTCTCACAGTGTGTGTGTGTGTGTGTGTGTGTGTGTGTGTGTGTGTGTGTGTGTGTGTGTGTGTGTGTGTGTGTGTGTGTGTGTGTGTGTGTGTGTGTGTGTGTGTGTGTGTGTGTGTGTGTGTGTGTGTGTGTGTGTGTGTGTGTGTGTGTGTGTGTGTGTGTGTGTGTTCAATCATGCCTTGGCAGCAGTGTGTTTGGACTTAAAACACGCTGTAGAGAAGCTCTGATGTGACGGGGTTCATAGTTTAACACAAGTTGGTGTTTTTTATAATTAAAAGGAATGTGTGCATTACTGCCAAACACTGTCAAGTCCTCATCATCAGAATAACGTTTATCGCCAGGTACGTTTACACATACTAGGAATTTTCTTTGGTGTCCGGTGGTGCGAACATAAACAATCATAAAAAGTAAGTTACAAAATAAGTATTTTTTAGAAACAATTCAGCATTAAGAAAGGATGATGAAGACAAGTATGTACACCACATTGAAATGTAACTATACAAATAACCCTAACACTTAGGAGAATGAGTATGTGGCAAACTACAATGTATTATATTTTAAAGTGGTGGGAAAAAATGTCCAAAAAGCAGTCAGAGAGTTGAGCATGATCATGGCTCACAGAATTGAACAAGATGTTGTCATGCCTAAATAATGTAATGGTTTGTTAGGATTCATAATCTGCCACCTCTAAAAGTCTGAAATGTGGTTCAGCGTAGGCAACTAGAAGTACTTTATTTAGTTTACATAAAGCCAATGTCGGCCTGTCGTCTCTGACATACTGACGTTGTTGGATTAGAAAACAAAACATCATCCACAACGCACACATATCTCATATTCCCGTTCATTCGTACAGAAACAGGAGATACATTGTTGTTTATTATTGCATGTCTTCAAATGTCTATATGACTGTGGACAGAGCAGCTACAACGTTAGCTTAGCCTAATCACTCGATCTCCATATAAAAAAAAAACGTGCATATTAAAAGTGTTTTGTCCAGTCGTCTTGCGTACACACTTACATAAGATAAGATGAGATGTTCTATATTGATCCCAAATAGGGGAAATAGTTGCATTGCAGCAGCATACAAATCAAGGCATTGCACATAAGTAGAAATAAACAAGTCTAGATAATACTGTATACACGTGGCAAAAGCATTAATAGCTTTCTGTAGGTATTTCGTCATCATTTTGATTTGTGTATTACATTTTAGT